GTAAAGCTTTTGATACAGTTGACCATGACTTGCTCCACGTAAAATTGTCACACTATGGTACTAGAGGGCACTCCCTCAACTACCTCAAGTCTTACCTCAGCAACAGAAGCCAATATGTGTACGCAAATGGGGCAAGCTCTTCCGCACAACCAATTACAGTTGGTTGTCCCACAGGAAGTGTCCTTGGCCCTCTTCTCTTTCTCCTATACATAAATGACCTACCAAATGCTTCGCAATTACTCAAACCCACACTTTTTGCAGATGACACTACATACGTCTTCTCTCACCCGAGTCCAGTCACGCTAGCCAATACTGTAAACACCGAATTACAGAAAATATCTACCTGGATGAGGACTAACAAACTTACACTAAACATTGACAAAACCTACTTCATTCAGTTTGGTAACAGAGCTACAGATGTACCTCTTAACATAACAATAAACGGATCACCTATCACAAAGCTAACAGAGGGAAAATTCCTAGGAATCCACCTCGATAATACTCAAATTTCATACACATATACAACAAATTTCTAAGAAAATTTCCAAGACTGCAGGCATACTATCGAAGATACGGTACTATGTTCCACAGTCAGCCCTCCTGGCCCTTTATCACTCTCTTATTTACCCCTATCTCACCTATGGAATTTGTGCATGGGGCTCAACAACAATTAACCATCTCAGACCACTAATTACCCAACAAAAGGCTGCAGTTAGAATGATAACAAATTCTCACTACAGGCAACACACTCCACCAATATTCAAAACACTCAACCTACTCACCATACAAAACATTCATACTGATTATTGCACCTATTACATACATAGAACACTTAACTCTGATATTAACCCTCCCCTCAAACATCTCCTTGCCAACCTCAACAGAACACATGACCATAACACAAGGCATAGATCACTCTTTGATGTTCCTCGTGTCCATCTCACACTATGCAAAAACTCAATGCACATAAAAGGCCCTAAAATCTGGAATTCATTACCTGTAAATATAAAAGAAACACTACCTGTTTATAAATTCAAGTCTCTTCTCAAAGATCACTTACTCACTCAAAACCAAATAAATACTGAATAACAACCTTATAAATTGTATATCCTATATGTTACAATTATATCACAAATGTTAAACCTAGGACCCAATCTAACTATTATTTTTTTAAATACACTACCTAACAGAATACTCCATTCGACTGAATGTACAACAATGCAAGCAACCATATGACCTGTCTTTGTAATACTCATTTGTGCTTTATAGTTATCTGTTTACAATAATGATTTATCACTGATTTCATCATTGCTTAGTTAAGCTTAAGTTAATTTTAAGCCAGCCCGTAATGCTATGCATATAAGTGGCTTTGGCATGCTGCTCTTACCTGTATTTTTTGTACCTCTGTATGTATGCTTAAATTACTAAATAAATAAATAAAATAAATGTTGATACCCGAAACCCTATCCAGGTCTTGGCTTTGGAGACAAGAAAGAAACGCTTCCCATAGTTATACAGAACATTTCGGGCAAAGAACCTAAGATAACTCCAAAAAATCACACACACACACGTCTTATTTCCATTGGGGTTCTTTTAATATCTTATTATTATACTATAAAGGAGATATAACAGGAAAAAGATAAAATGAGTTATTTAAATTTACACGAGTGTTATCTTAACAAAATAAAAAATCATTCTTCTCTTATTTGTCTTGATTTTAAATGTTTAAATAACAATGACCCCCAGTGGGAATAAATCTCTGGGTTATCCTGGGTAATTTATGCAATGCATGATTATTGCAATTATGTGTACCTGTACCTAAATTAACAATCTAATTTGAGCAAGATTAACCTCAGTCTCGAGTAACACAAATTAATGTTACCACTAACTCACATTTTCTTTATTAAAACTTAAACATAGAAAACTTGAATTTTGAGTCTAGAAGGGGAACCCTTACTTCACATAAGTTTATTTAGTTACAACAACAGTATTTAGATGATCACAATTTGTCTTACTTAATAACATGCTTAAATTACCCAAGATAATCAAAAAACCGAACAAACTGACTTATTCCCATTGGGATCCTTGTAAATAAAATTTGAAGCTCTTCAAACACACAGGATTAATAACCCTGATGGGTTAGTAAACCAAAATAACCCAATAAAGCCACGTCGTCAGACTGTCTACCTTATTTCCACTGGATTTGCTTAACCCTCTTCCCCAGGATGCGACACAGGAGTGAATCTAGGAACTATCTATACCGGGGAGAGGAGAATGATAGGCGCGGACTCGATTTTTTTTATGGATTAATCGTTTTTAAATGTGAAGGGAATTTTTTTTATTATAGTAATAATGAGTTGGAGAGCGAAACGTTGCCTCAATAAAAATGTTACTTTAGATGCCCGTATGTTCTTTTACCTAACTTATAGAAACTCGTTTTGAACTCAATAAAACAACACTGAACTAGTTTTAAATTTAATGAAACACTTGTTTTAAACTCAATAAAACAACACTTTATATAAGGTGTATAAACCAAAAGAAATGTATCAGTGTATATATATAAACAAAAAAATAGTATCTCAGATGTTTATAAACAAAGTTGTGACCATCTCAGTGCATAAACAGTAAATACATTGAAATTTTGCTTGAGTCTGCCTAGCATGATCCAGTAGGCCTACAGTAGTGCTCCTCCGTTCCCTAGTATACTATTGGTGAACATTAAAATGGTATAAAATACCGACAGGTTGTTAGGTAAGACACATATGCAACAATTAGGTATCTTTATTATGAAACGTTTCGCCTACACAGTAGGCTTCTTCAGTCGAGTACAGAAAAGTTGATAGAAGCAGAAGATACTTGAAGACGATGTAATCAGTCCATCACCCTTAAAGTTTTGAGGTGGTCAGTCCCTCAGTCTGGAGGGTGTCCAATACTGACAGGTAAAGAAGACAGGTAAAGAAGACTCGTGCAACAGGTATCCATTTTTCCAGACCCATGCTAGGCAGGTCCTCAACTTTTCTCACTCGTAACAAGTGGTTCAGCAATAAAGTTGGTAACAATGTCCTCTGTACCAAGATTCCGTTGTATGTATTAATATTGGTAGAATTACCAACAATATGTTAAGTAAAAGGACACAAATGCAACTAATATGACATTTTACTGAGGCAACGTTTCGCTCTCCAGGAGAGAAACGTAACGGCTTGATAAAGCTCCTGGAGAGCGAAACGTTGCGACAGTGTTACATCAGTTGCATTTGTGTCCTTTTACTTAACATTCCCTTTTATGTTGAAAATGGTATATAACAACACGAAGTTGAAAGGTAAGACAGGTGAAACAGTTGGGTACCTTTGTTGTTGATCGAAACGTTTCGCCTTCACAGTAGGCTTCTTCAGTCAAATGCAGAGGTAGCAATAGTAGCGAAGTATAGATGATGTAAACAGTCCATCAACCTTGGAGAAACAGCTTTTGAGAGGGGAAGGAGGTCAGTCCCACAGTCTGGAGAAGTGTACACACAGTGCGTGAGGTGGAAATATAAACACAAATGCAGTATAATGTGATCCTTTATTGACAACGTTTCACCCACACAGTGGGCTTTTTCAAGTCACACACCGATCAGATCCGTGTGTGACTTGAAAAAGCCCACTGTGTGGGTGAAACGTTGTCAATAAAGGATCACATTATACTGCATTTGTGTTTATATTTCCATTGTGTCGGTATTTTATACCATTTATTTCCAGCGCGTGAGGTACCGAGAGGTAATTGGATGCGATTAAAAAATGAGAGGATCGATCCACTTCCATAGATCATTATAATCAAAACTAAGCGGTACACTCACAAGGGTCATACAGAGCTGACCTTGGATCTAGAGCCCTTCTCCAGCATCAAGGCTCTCCAGGGAAGATGTTTTCACTTGAAATATTTATACAGCTTACTCAAAGAAGTTACAAGATTCTTAACTTTACATACTGGAACCAAAGCAGGTAAACTCCAGGTGTTGTGTATACCTGGAGAGAATTCCGGGGGTCAACGCCCCCGCGACCTGGTCTGTGACCAGGCCTCATGGTGGATCAGGTCCTAATCAACCAGGCTGTTACTGTTGGCCGCACGCAACCCGACGTACGAACCACAGCCCGGCTGGTCAGGTGTGCTAATTTTTTTTTTTACAATGGTCTTAAAGGCACATAGGTGTTACGGGCACGTATAAAGCACACTATGTAGCTTTAAAAATAAACCAATAAAGTCAGATATGTTAATAATGCAAATTTTCCCCTTTGCTCCAGTAAAGGATCAGCCGGGCTGTGGCTCGTACGTCGGACTGCGTGCGGCCAGCAGTAACAGCCTGGTTGACCAGGCCCTGATCCATCTGGAGGCCTGGTCATGGACCGGGCCGCGGGGGCGTTGATCCCCGGAATAACCTCCAGGTGTATAATCTAAATTTAGATCTCAAACTGAATGCTATAAAAAATTAGAATTTCTCATTAGCTGTAATATAAAACCATGAGGCAGTGCATAAGTGTACAAAATAACGCTAATGGAAACCTTGGTTTACCAAACCATGCCACAGGTGAGGATAGAACCCGCGGTGAGAGTCATAGAACTCCAGACCTACGCGTTAGCCACTGAACCAGCTGGCCACAATAAATTTTGGCTTTATATCAAGAAGAATAAAGACTTAGGGGCTTCAATTTTATATATTTTATGCTGCAAAGTTCTTGTCTCCATATTACAGAATGGATATAAATATATTAGAAAACGTACGAAGAATGAAGTTGATTCCACGTATCAGAAATCTTTCCTAAGAGGACACACCGAGGTCTTTGAATCTTTGCACCATCTGTAAAGGCATAAATTAAAACCTACAAATGGAAAACCGGAAATAAAGGGAATATAAATAACGTGCTTAAAATATCTAACTAGGATAGGACTCTCAGCAATGAGTTTAAGACATGTTTAGACTGCTACGGCAATAGGTTTGTAGATGAGTGGAACAACTGCCCAGGTAGCGTTGAAGCGAGAGCTTAGGGTAGCTTAAAAATAGGTTGGATAGGTACAGGAATGGGCGAGAGTAGACGAGTTGGAACTACCTAACATGGGTCAGTAGGCCTGCAGCAGTTCTCTTCCGTTATGCTCATAATTTCTGAAATTCACAAATGTGTCTGCAGGTACTGCCATGTAGAAGATACTGACGTAGCATTGTATACGCATGCTTCACCAAGGAGAGGTCAGTGTGGACCAGGTTGCTTGGTGATGTGTGTTTGTGTGTGTAGTGCAACTCGCTCCCAACATTCTCCTCAACACCTGGTGCACCTGTGTCTTTTATCCAAGAATTTACAAGCGGCATAAGCGAGAATTAATGCTTTGCAAGTGAGTGTGAAGAACTTGCAAATTCTGGCCGAGAATTTCACACAGTCGATGGGTTTTGAAGAGAGAAACAGAGGGAAGTGTTGAGTGTGTGTCCAGACTATCGACCGGGAAGATTGCGTGAGTATCCTAACCTCGTGAATGTTAACAGTTTCTCTGACCTAAATGTGTGTATACACATGCAGCATTAGTAATTACACGAACTTAAAATGTTAAAATTTAATCGAGGTATTTTGTTACACCACAATAACAGATTGAATTACGATGTGTGTATACACTAAGAGGTGGAAGAAATCACAGTAAAACGTGTGATTGCAAATATAAAAATAAAACATCTAGGAAGAAGATAAACAGGAAAACCTAAACGATTTCATGTTCTTAGGAACACATTTTCAGGTGTGTGTGAGCACATCTTCTGAAGATGTGTGTAAATACACTGAATCACCCAGGTTTTCCTGTTCATTTGCGTCACTGCGATATTTTTTGGTTACACTGAGAGGTGTGTATTTATCAGTGTAAATGTAGACAATGGTGTGATTTTTGTGTACATCGAGAGATGTGTATTCCTGAATGTATATGAGAGGTGATATTACATATACGGCTTAGAAACCAGACTCAGTGTATATACAAAGAAACGTGTGTAGATCTCACTGTATATACACAGGTAAGTACGATTCAGTGTACATACATCGATAGATATGCATCATTGTGTATAAACACCAAGAGGTACGTATCTGTGTATATACACTTGGATGTGAGTATACCAGTGTGTATGGATAAGTCTCTCTCCAACGTCTATCCAGACTTACCTTCAGATTCATCTCCTACCACTTCCACCTCCCCCCACATTCACAGATGCACAGATGCCCAGGTAGGTAATTAACTATTTCAGTACTAAAAAAACGCCGATAGGTAAGAGGTCTTGAACTAAAGACCAATGTACCTGACGAGCGTAATGCGCAAATTAATGGAAAACATCATCAGGAACTTCTATAACATCCAAAGAGAACTGGAGTTCTCACAGACCATCAGCTTGGATGTTGATAAAACAATTACTGATTTATGGCATTTTACTGAGAAGGCTTTTCATGGGGGACTTTATCAATTGGTGGGAACTCATTATCTTTTTTACGTAACGTCTTTCCAATAAAACGCCCAAATCGCATATTGTATCTTAAGATAATTTCGGGTATATAATACCACAAATAACCCGCACATATGAGAAAAACTTATAACGACGTTTCGGCCCGAGTTGGTCTATTAACTAGCCACATCAGCATTGACTTAGAAATTAACAAATTATGCGTTGCTAAAACCACAGAAGCATATGACTGACCAAGAGAGATCAGATAGGGGAGAGATAATGTTGAACATAATCCTAGACTGCTTTTGGTACGATTCCACGTGGAAGGCTACTTAGCAAGCCAGGGAAAAAAGGTGCATTCCAACACAGAGGAATATTTGTAGAACAGAAAGCAAAAAGTGTCCATACGGGATGAAATACTAGAATCGAAGTTTGGTGGAGTTCCACGGGATCAGTGATGGGTCTCATGCTGTTCCGAGTGTAAGAAAAAGACCTGACACAGAGGAAAATCTAAAGAGGATAATAAAAACTAAAGAGAATGAAACAAAGTTGCAAGAAGACCTGGATAAACGTCAGAAAGAGTACGATAAATGGCTACCGGAATTTAGCCATAGCAAAAAGCAAAGTTATGAAGCTGTGAGAGGGGAAATGGGTGAAAACAGAATATCATCTGGGAAAGAAATCTCACAGAAAAATGGTAAATAAAAACGCTAAGGCACAAAAAAACAGAACAACATTGGCAGTACAGGTCAAGTAGTACACGTCTCTAATGAGCGACCCATTCTTGAATATGCAGCGCCGTTGTGGAGCCCACCACATCTAGGAAAAGCGAAGTTGGAGAGTGAACCGAAGGAAATGAGCTATAATCAAAGAATGTGAGAGTTGGATCTTATTCTTGGAGGGATACAATCACAAGAGAAATTCTACGTCGCGTTCAAGTTCGAGTCAAGGAAGAGGAAGGGGCACTTCCCCCTCGATGGATGGGATGGAGAGGTTCCAGCCTCCTTCAAGGTTGAGAGGGAGTAATGCCTCCTTCAAGGTTGAGAGGGGAGGGGGTTTACCTCCTTGAAGGTTAAAAGGGGGCAATGCCTCCTTGAAGGGGACACAGGGGGGTGCCTGCCCCCTTCAACTGAGTGCCAGTATATTACTTTTTGTTGTTGTTTGGCAGCACTTGACAACAAATATGATACAAAGTAACTACATACAAAAATTTCAATTTACACACGCGATATTTCGCTCTAAGTTGAGCTTTCGATCGAAACATCACCCGAGACCATATAAAAATATTTACATGTGGAAATAAAATTCATGTATCGAAGATGGGCAAGTTATGGCGGGCGAGCCGCATGCAACGTCTCGTGCAATGCGGCTCTTCTGCACATACAGTGCAACGGGCGAAACGCTGCCCTGATTAAACTGATGTTATCATCTCACTGTTTTACAGATATTCCTTGTATTTGGCAACACTTGTTTTATGCTTCTAGAGATTGTGATTGAGAAGTTGCTGTTATTATTGTATTATATCACTACTACTACTACAATATTCAGAAAAGGAGGAGCACTAAACCCGTATAGTGTTTATCACCTCGCAAAAAAAAGAAAAAATGCTCGCGCTAACGGCAAGGAAGTCGAGACTATTTCGGTCCCGTCCCGAACCCTCGTCAAGTTACCAACCCGTATGAGGTGCCGAGGAAGAGGGATTAGTCACATTCCTCGGATCAAGAGCCGTTCACTAACATCAAGGCACTCCAACAACCCCCCCCCACCTTTGAGGATTATTAATCATAACTAAGCGCTAAACCCACAAGGGTTTAGCGCTTAGTTATGATCATAACTTAGTTATGACTATATACCCACAAGGGTTTAGCTCTCCAGGAACCGTGTCAAGCCGTAACGGCTTAACAAAGCTCCTGGAGAGCGAAACGTTGCCACAATAAAATATCTCATTAGTTGCACTTGTGGTCCTTTTAATTAATACATGTTTTCTCTCTCTCAGTTACCAGAAAATTGTCGTGGGAATCTCTTGAGTCAAAGTTTCGACTACACTTATTATACATCATCAAGGCTCTAAGAAATAAATAACTGAATAACACATACCTCTGCTGAGTCATCTTCACCTGTAGTTTGCCGAGAGGTTCCTCCTCTTGATGACTGAACGACCGTGTACGGCCTCGAGATTACACCTCTCTCATTAACTATCACACTGACTCTAAAAATAATTTCCTCATTCATACATGGCTCAACGTACATGTTCGCCGTGAATCTACCAGTTTTAGCTTGTTCTGTGAAGTTTAAAGCCTATCGGCTTTACAATCACTACCAGCACTTACGATTACTACAATCCACTAAGTCAAAGAAAACTCGTTTTAATCCCTACAATAACATTAAACCTGCATTTTACATTCATCGAGATATACACTTCTCATTACATAAGCGTTGAATAATATACACACTCCAGTTTGTATATATATACACTTACGAAGTACACGTCTTCTAGTGCAAAGGTCAGAGAAGCACTGCATACAAATGTTGACAGTGGTCAAACGCAAACAAATAAATTAATTTTTGATTGGATAATATTCCTCGCAGGTGGGAGAGACTAGCCAATAAAAAATCGGATGCATGGGTGGGTAAAGAGAGTTGCTTTCCTGTGTGACCAATCATGATGTACCTGGTTAGGCGCGCTGTTTGAACCAACAAAATGTGAACATTTGAGGATCATGCTTAAATTGGGCCTACGTTTTTCATATGATTTAGCGAAATGTAGTGCCAGTGAAGGCTTGTTCTGTGTATCGCGTCTTGATGCCCATACCTTCGGGCATTACGTCTTCACATCCACTAGACAACGCAGGAGAGAAATGGTACTAAATACGAAAACGATGGGAACAGACACACAAATGCAGTGGAGTAACATTCTTTTCAGATAACGTTTCGCCTACGTAATATGTTATTTTTTCAAGTCAGAAGTAGGTCATGACTTACTTCCACTTACACTTTCTACTTCCCCAGTGGAAGCAAGTCATGTCTGACTACCTCTTGAACTTCCTACTTCCCTAGTAGGGCATGACTTCCTTTCACTGGAGAATCCCGCTTACCAGTGACAATGCCTTCAACTACTGCAACTTTACAGACTCCAGTATATGTCTGGAAAGTGTTTCAGGGGTCAGCGCCCCCGCGGCTTGGTCCGTGACAAGACCTCCTTCTTCCTGCCTGTTTCAGATCATGAAAACCACGGTACTGAAAGTTCTGCTAGGTTGAGGTGAAGCCCAGGTGTTCTGTGAGGTGTAGGTGAGGTGTCCAGTCAAGCGTAAGTGTGGTATTCTGTTAGGTGTAGGTGATGTATGCTCTTATGTGTAGGTGAGGTGTCTGGCCACACAGGGATTAAATTTACGTGAGGTCTGGGCCTATATAATCTACACTACTCATTTTTTTTTTATTCAAAATTTGTTTTTACGATAGGTTCTGATGCGTACATTCTTCTGTCTGATGGTATTCTTGTCAGGAATAGTTGCTGGTGAAATAATCTCCCTGCATCGTACTCCTGGCTCATTAGATGCGCTTGATGAGTTAGACACTGATGCAACACTAGGAAACTTTACAGGCTTCGTCAGTGGTTATTCACTGAGAGGAATGTATCTCTCAGTGGTTATACACTGAGAGGAATGTATCTCTCAGTGGTTATACACTGAGAGGAATGTATCTCTCAGTGGTTATACACAGAGATGCAAGTATCTCTCAGTGGTTATACACTGAGAGGAATGTATCTCTCAGTGGTTATACACTGAGAGGAATGTATCTCTCAGTGGTTATACACTGAGAGGAATGTATCTCTCAGTGGTTATACACTGAGAGGGATGTATCTCTCAGTGGTTATACACTGAGAGGGATGTATCTCTCAGTGGTTATACACTGAGAGGGATGTATCTCTCAGTGGTTATACACAGAGGTGCAAGTATCTCTCAGTAGTTATACACTGAGAGGTGCGTGTATCTCTCAGTGGCTATACACTGAGACACATCAACTCCAGGCTGACGGACTGATTTCCTCAGACTCCTCCTCATTTTTCTTCTTTCTCTACATTGGACTGAAGAAGCCACTAGATGGCGAAACTTTTCAGAATAAAGATACCTAAATGTTGCACAAGTGTCTCATTTGCCACGAACATTGGTTTACCCTTGGGAATAAAGACACTCAGCTTTATTAAGAAGTTCAGAGTACTTGATAAAGGCCAGCTTGTGGGAAACGTTGAATTAAAAGGATTCTCTGCTAACAGTGTCAGTGGCTACGAAAAGACACATTACCTGTCCTGCAGCTGTTCCTTGGGAATTAGTGTGGAGTGTATAGTGTTATCATGTCTTGCTCCTGTAGTGTCTTGAGTCAGAGCTCGAGGTGTTGAAGGAGGAGGTTCCACTTCTCAAGGAGGAGGTTCCACTTCTCAAGGAGGAGGTTCCACTTCTCAAGGAGGAGGTTCCACTTCTCAAGGAGGAGGTTCCACTTCTCAAGGAGGAGGTTCCACTTCTCAAGGAGAGGTTCCACTTCTCAAGGAGGAGGTTCCACTTCTTAAGGAGGAGGTTCCACTTCTCAAGGAGGAGGTTCCACTTCTCAAGGAGGAGGTTCCACTTCTCAAGGAGGAGGTTCCACTTCTCAAGGAGGAGGTTCCACTTCTCAAGGAGGAGGTTCCACTTCTCAAGGAGGAGGTTCCACTTCTCAAGGAGGAGGTTCCACTTCTCAAGGAGGAGGTTCCACTTCTCAAGGAGGAGGCTCCACTTCTCAAGGAGGAGGTTCCACTTCTCAAGGAGGAGGTTCCACTTCTCAAGGAGGAGGTTCCACTTCTCAAGGAGGAGGTTCCACTTCTCAAGGAGGAGGTTCCACTTCTCAAGGAGGAGGTTCCACTTCTCAAGGAGGAGGTTCCACTTCTCAAGAAGGAAAACAAGAAATAGAATATTAGCCTGGATAAGAATAACAATGAATGTGAGGTGGTTGAGGTTAGAGAAGGAAAACAGGTTGCCAGCAAGGAAGAGGATGACAGTAAAAAACAAATGGAAAGTAGTGTCTAGTAAAGAAAGGTTAGACAAATAAATGAGTGGTTGTGAGTTGGACCTGACCAACTTGAGCCAGTAGGCCTGCTGCAGTACTCCTTCCTTCTTAAGTGGGTGTGACTTGGACCTGCATAGCATGGGCCAGTAGGCCTACTGCAGTGCTCCTCACAGTCTCATCAAATTGAGGAAGGACAAGGAGCAGATATAAGAATAGGAAATCGCTTTTTGTTCTTCAGGACGAATACTTTTAGTAATAAGAATATCATCGTGGTCTGTAAGTCACGAGTTCGATGCATGGACCGTACCAAACCATACCACGGGCGGGGATTGAACTCGTGGCAAGTGAGTTGGTAAAACTTCGATTTCGTGACTCATGGACAGTGCCTTCTGTAACAAGACTTTGAAGGCGGGATAGAGGGTGTTTACCAGGACCTGGAGTTGGTCAGTGTCAACAGGTTGGATAATATCAGGTCAGTAATAGAAGCAAGTCCATTATGTGACTTTTTTACCCAAAATATTAATTTATTTGGGAAAAAACGATTTATATTTATTTAGCATTATCTCAAGTACCTTGGTTAATATATATTGTATTTCATTAAGCTGTAAATGCGTGTGAGTTATTCAGCTGAAAGAGTGGTGGAGGCTCGATTCACTGTCCTCTAATAGCGGCTCAGGCTTCGACTAGCATTATTTTCAGTGAATGACTAGCGCTAGTTAAGCGCCTTAAGTGAAAATTACCTCTATGACTACTACTACTATAGTACTATCACTACCACTACTACTATTATAGTACTATTACTACTACTACTACTACTACTACTATTACTTCTACTACTACTACTACTACTGACGCTGATGCTACTACTACTGCTACTTCTATTACTACTACTACTACTACTAGCACTACTGCTATTACTATAGTACTATTACTACTACTGCCACAACTACTAATGCTGCTACTACTACTACTACTACTACTAATAATAATAATAATAATAATAATAATAAAACGAAGACGGAGGAGGAGAAGGAGGAGAGGAAGAAGGAAGAGGAGGAGGAGAAGGAGGAGAAAAAGGAGGAACAGAAAGCGAATAAGAATAAAAACTATATATATACTGGACAGGAACAGATGGAGACAGTGAGAGCGTCCATCACCACGGCAGAAAAGGAGAGGTTGAAGAGGGAAGACCACCTGAAAGTCTTACTCAGTAAGACTCAAGCCAGAGGTCTTGTCCTTCACTCCCCGGTCCCTTACGACGGAGACTGTCTTTTCCACTCCGTCTTGAGACTCGTCCCTTCCTCTCCCCCGGCTGCTGGACTTCTACGAGATTCTCTCGTCAGGTTCTTCACCAGTCAGGTAAGACTTCCTGCTTTGGGAGATAAAAAAAAATAGATGTATAATGCTTCTTATTATTTTTTTTTAACCTTCACCCGGTAGATTATCGTCAGAATTTTTTCGTGGTACATTTGTATTCAACTACCTTGAAGGGACAAAAAAATCATAACACTTTGGTTGAAACAATACAGATCTAACCCACAGTTTCGAGATAAAATTATTGGAGACATTTCGGTCCTTCCTGGACTTGATAATAGTGAAGGATAAGCCTAAACGTCTTCAGTAGTTTTCGCTCATATTGTGGGTTATATGTGAAGTCAAGAATCTTTTATTTTACAATATATTACCTTCAGTATTTCTCAAAAACTGACAGTTCTTTTTATAATAAAATTAAATTTTATATAATATAGAAATGTAATTTTTTTTTTTACCAAATTCAGGCGTATTTTTTGGCCATTGAACTTCATGCTTTAATATGGAGAATAATATATTAACAAATCTTTGCTCATTAATAAATTAAAAATATTATTTGCTATAATAAGTGTACATTTAAAGAGAGGACACAACTAGTTTTAAAATTAAACATTTCTTATTGAGAGAGAAAAATCCTGATTAATGCCTGTAAATTCCTCAGAACACGAAAAATTGTCTTTAAGAGAGAGAGAGAGAGAGAGAGAGAGAGAGAGAGAGAGAGAGAGAGAGAGAGAGAGATGGAGAGAGAGACACCTATCCAACTAATGTTTATGTTCCCACTTACGATTATCTTTCGTTAGTAACAGTAGTCCGATACAAAAGTTGAACTTACAATTTGTGTTTCCTCTGTATTGAGATGAGCTTCCATTCTTGCAGAGATGCTCGAGAGAGCTGAGAGCCACAGCTGACGGATCATTCTTGATGGAGCTCTCCCAGCAACACAGAGACGTCAGCGACGACCGAGTGGTCAAAGGCCTGGCCGAACACCTCTCAGTAGCTATCAACGTCATCTCCCTGGACCCGAGTAACAACAATGAGTCCCAGTTGTCCTATTACCCGGGTGAGAGACAACCTTCACTCACTATATATATCGGCCACATCAAAGACGAGCACTACGTCCCTCTGAGAGTACAAGCCATTGGGGAGAAGAAGAAGCAGCAGCAGCATCACCAGCAGAGACCACTACATCAACAAAAGCAACTGAAGAGATATTTCAGTGGAAGGACTGAAAGGCCCCTCAAGCGTAGGGCTCTGAGGATCCCCTTCTCTCATATACATTATGTTGCATGCCCTGAGCCTCTCTGATGACTGATACCTGACAAAAACAAAAACAAAAAAAAAATATTTCAATTGCATAAAAAATAAAAAATAAACTATTTTATCTGCCAAAAGAGATTGACTCAATGAGACATTTTTGTAATATATTCCTTGGGCCATTATTCTTTAGCATATTTATGTCGAATTATTATATTTCTAGCCGATTACATTATTTTCCTCTGAATTACTCTTTTTTCAATATGGAGTCCTTTATTTCTTTCTAGATTCTTTAATTTCAATCTAGATTCCATTATTTCTATCCAGATTCATAACGTATCTTAAAAATGTCTAATTCAATATCCGACAGTATTAATAATATTGTTAAAACAGTGAAGACCACAACATTGTTTTGGAAATCTATTACAATTAAAAAAAAATCAGGACAAAGAAACCTTGAGTTGGTCGTCTCAAAAGTACCGTAATAATAATTCTAAACTCTAACAATGAAAAGTTGAAGCGGTTGTATCTAGGATTTGTAATTTCCAGTGAAGGCATTTGGCACACTAGATCACTTGAGCTTTATTGCTCAAGGAGTATGTGATATTGTTGCATTGCAACATCATCAACCTTTCCTATTGCTTAGTTGACTTAAATAAAGATGGCTGACATGTAGCAGAGATCCCCAGCAGAAATAAGTCACAGTGACTTTATTGGATTATCCAAGGTTAAAGCTCTATAAGGTGGTTTTTATTTGTCTAAACATCTATATGTCCTCAGGACCATTGTAAAAGTAGTTTTCTTTATTAAGTACCCATTCCAAAATAAAAACGTACTTATGCTTATTAACCTACTTATTCATGCTTACTTGCATACCTATTAAAAGTAAAAAAAAATATGCTACTTTAATGCTATTAACTATTAAGCCTTAGATATCAATTCAGGCCTTGACCAGCCTTTCTTCGCTGATTGATGTACATTGGTCTACTGCCTTGCATTTATTTAATAATAATAATAATAATAATAATAATAATAATAATAATAATAATAATAATAATAATAATAATAATAATAATAACAATAATAATAATAAATATAAATAATAATAATAATAATAATAATAATAATAATAATAATAATAATAATAATAATAATAATAATAATAGTCTTAGACACATCGACCGTCTCTCAGTCGTTAAGGGTAACACAGAAATAAAGGAAAAACATTGACCATTATGCTTGCAATAGCTATCTTGCCAGAAGGGCAGCGCAGACACCACACTTCAGATGACCCTCAGACCTGCAGCATCCCTCCCTCTTCTCCCTGAGAGCACAAGTGCTGAAGTTCCCTATCAATTCCGTTAACAGGTTTCAACGACTCCCTTCATCAAGGTGCTCACACCTCAATAACACATTAAACCATAAAAACAACTTATCTATTTCGCTTTAATGATGTTTTTTTTCGCAAAGCAGTTTTATGTATAGTAAGATATGAACCTCCGGGAGGATGCTAAACACACCTGTCGACTAATACCTAGGTACCTATTTACTACTAGGTGAAGGGGATTAACAGGTGTAAGGAGACTTGCCTCTCATATGAGGTTCCTTAATACTGGTGAGGGGCTCTTGATCCAGGGAATTGGATCTGTGCTCCAGTTCCCTGAATTGAGCCTGAATGTCTTCCACCTCCTAACCCCCACAGGCGCTGTATAATCCCTACTGCTTTAGCGCTCCCCATGATAATAATAAAAATTCACTCATTTAGGACTAAACAAGATCTATCAATAGTCAACCGAGGGAATAAACATTATAATTATTATTGTTATAAATTCAACAAACAGAATCGCATATTTTCGAACTGTTAAATGTAATTTATCACTAAACTCTTGTAATAAAATTTAGTGTTATGTTGTGTTTTATGTCTGTTCTCGCTCTTGTGACATTGGTTAATAAGTAATAAAGGCAGAATTACGGACAATATGTTATGTAAAAGGTATCGTTGCTACAATAAAATGTTACATTAGTTGCACTTGTGGCCTTTTAACTAACGTCTTCGTACTAGTGCTCAGAGTTGGGACTCTTCCCTATACTCGACCCCAGAGGTGGGACTCTTCCCTATACTCGACCCCGGAGGTGGGACTCTTCCCTATACTTGACCCCAGAGGTGGGACTCTTCCTTATACTCGACCCCAGAGTTGGGACTCTTCCCTATACTCGACCCCAGAGGTGGGACTCTTCCCTATACTCGACCCCAGAGGTGGGACTCTTCCCTATACTTGACCCCAAAGGTGGGACTCGTCCTTATACTCGACCCCAGAGTTGGGACTCTTCCCTATACTCGACCTCAGAGGTGGGACTCTTCCCTATACTCGACCCCAGAGTTGGGACTCTTCCCTATACTCGACCCCAGATGTGGGACTCTTCCCTATACTCGACCCCAGAGGTGGGACTCTTCCCTATACAAGACCCCAGAGGTGGGACTCTTCCCTATACAAGACCCCAGAGGTGGGACTCTTCCCTATACTTGACCCCAGAGGTGGGACTCTTCCTTATACTCGACCCCAGAGGTGGGACTCTTCCCTATACTTGACCCCAGAGGTGGGACTCTTCCCTATACTCGACCCCAGAGTTGGGACTCTTCCCTATACTCGACCCCAGAGTTGGGACTCTTCCCTATACTCGACCTCAGAGGTGGGACTCTTCCCTATACTCGACCCCAGAGGTGGGACTCTTCCTTATACTCGACCTCAGAGGTGGGACTCTTCCCTATACAAGACCCCAGAGGTGGGACTCTTCCCTATACTCAACCCCAGAGGTGGGACTCTTCCCTATACAAGACCCCAGAGGTGGGACTCTTCCCTATACTCGACCCCAGAGGTGGGACTCTTCCCTATACTCGACCTCAGAGGTGGGACTCTTCCCTATACTCGACCCCAGAGGTGGGACTCTTCCTTATACTCGACCTCAGAGGTGGGACTCTTCCCTATACAAGACCCCAGAGGTGGGACTCTTCCCTATACTCAACCCCAGAGGTGGGACTCTTCCCTATACAAGACCCCAGAGGTGGGACTCTTCCCTATACTCGACCCCAGAGGTGGGACTCTTCCCTATACTCGACCTCAGAGGTGGGACTCTTCCCTATACTCGACCCCAGAGTTGGGACTCTTCCCTAAACTCGACCCCAGAGGTGTGACTCTTCCCTATACTCGACCCCAGAGGTGTGACTCTTCCCAATACTCGACCTCAGAGGTGGGACTCTTCCCTATACTCGACCTCAGAGGTGGGGTTCTCCTCTACAACACAACCAAGAAGTATGGGTCTTCTCTGCTTGATGCCAGAGCCTGGGGATGTACTCATACACGTAGGACAGGTTTTTTCCGACTGTCAGTGGAATCTTGTATGAGCCGGACACTACCCACTCACCCGCCAAATCCCGCTAGCAGCTGCACTCTGTACGAATACTGAATATGTCCACTCTACGTCGTCTGTGTACGTCGATTAAGATCATCGACTGTGTACGTACATGGGAACAATTGACACGAATTTCACATAGATTATCATTACAGTCTTGGTGTGGTATGGTGGTGAGATTAACTACCATTGAAAACCGTTAATGTAACTTTGTTCAAGCATGTCTATGCCGTAGTGGGGGTTATACATTTCTAGCTGTATGGACATATACAACATACTGTCAACTCTATGTTGTCAGGAAGTGGAATGACCTCGACAGCGTAGTGGTGGAGGCAAGATCCATACTTGGTTATTAAAAGAGGTATGATAGGGCTTGCCCAGCTATGGTCACCTGAATGGCACCTACACAGCTATGGTCACCTGAATGGCACCTACACAGTCATGTCACCTGAATGGTACCTACACGGCCATGGTCACCTGAATGACACCTGGATAGCCATGGTCATCTGAATGGCACCTATACTGCTATAGTCACTTGAATGGCACCTACACAGCCATGGTCACCTGAATGACACCTATTCAGCCACGGTCACCTGAATGGCACCTACACAGCCATGATCACCTGAATGACACCTATACAGCCATGGTCACCTGAATGGCACCTATACAACCATGGTCACCTAAATAACACCTATACAGCCATGACCATCTGAATGGCACCTATACAGCCATGGTCATCTGAATGACACCTATACAGCCATGGTCACCTGAACGGTAGCTATACAACCATGGTCACCTGAATGGTGCCTATACACCCATGGTCACCTGAATGACACCTATACAGCCATGGTCACCTGAATGGCACCTATACAGCCATGGTCACCTGAACGGTAGCTATACAGCCATGGTCACCTGAATGACACCTATACAGCCATGGTCACCTGAATGACACCTATACAGCCATGGTCACCTGAATGACACCTATACATCCATGGTCACCTGAATGACACCTATACAGCCATGGTCATCTGAATGGCACTTACCCGCTCGTAGTCACCTAAAAGGCACCACTAGTGTAAATATTGAATTTACATGCTATTTCTATCTGATATAGTGAGTGAGAGAGAGAGAGCGAAGGAGAGAGAGAAGAGAGAGAGAGAGAGAGAGAGAGAGAGAGAGGAGAGAGAGAGAGAGAGAGAGAGAGAGAGAGAGAGAGAGAGAGAGAGACAGAGAGACAGAGAGAGAGAGAGAGGGCAAGCATCCCGGATCTGGAGATAAAAAGGCAGTGTTCCAGGGGTGGATGCTATCATCTCTGTGTACGGTCAACACCAGGAGAATAGTTCACGAGGAATGCTTAAAATTTAATGTCAACCCTGATGCTAGCGCTACTTAGTTTTTAGTTATCAAAGACACTTGTCGATAGACATTTGGCCTCCTGTGAACGCTTGTGTGAGTGTGTGTGTGTGTGTGTGTGTGTGTGTGTGTGTGTGTGTGTGTGTGTGTGTGTGTGTGTGTGTGTGTGTGTGTAAGCAAGTTGGTGTTGACATTCCTATTTCGTAAATCTGGTCGTGAGTTTTTCAAGGATAATCAAGTGGCTACTGTCAGTTTTGCATTGGTACTGCATTAACAAATTTTGTTTATATCGTTAAATACACAGGGTAAGATTAGTTGTTATACTACAACTCACAAAGGGTAAGAGCAGGCAGCCTACCTCGCCTCAGGCACCATTAGAAATATTATCCCATCTCTGCTCATACATGATTAGAGATATTACCCCACCTCCGATCATACAGAATAAGAGATATTATCCTACCGTCTATCATTCAGAGCCTGGCATTATTCAAGCCTTTAGAGCAAGGTATTCTTTATCCTCTCCCCTCTCCCTAGGTTAGGAGGTCTATCCTGCGTGATGAAATATGACAGGTAAATAGAGTTAGCTGCCTCAAATTGAAGAGAGATAATTACTTTATCCAAGAAATGATCCATATAGTATCATTTTTGGTTGATCTAATTTCCCTACTTGAAACATAAGTTGTTTGGGCAGCTAGAACTATGCTCTGAAAAACGTCATATTGGCAACCAACACCACCTACCTGTGCAACAGTTAGGTATCTTTATTCCGAAACGTTTCGCCTACACAGTAGGCTTCTTCAGTCGAGTACAGAGAAGTTGGAAGAAGCAGTAGAGATGTGAAGACGATGTAATCAGTCCATTACCCTTGAAAACGTAGTTTTGAGATGGTCAGTCCTCTCAGCCTGGAACAATGTGAAGTTGAAGTTACAGTATATACTGTCAGGAGGTGAGATGTACTCCACTAGTAGAAGAAAGAATGTAATCATTGAGATGTCATGTCTCTCTCAAATCCAACTGTGCTGTTGAAAAGATGGGACTGTATCTAACCTTGTCTCTGCATTTTCCCTAAGCATTCAGTGTACCATGTTTTTCTTTCAACCTGGAGGGTGTATGAAGGATTATGACACTAGAGGAAGGGAGTATAAAGGATTATAACACTAAA